ATATATATATATATATATATATATATATATATATTATATATGTATATATGTGTATATATATATATATATACATATATACAATGCATATATACAATACTTTTTCTTTTCTCTTATCAAATAATATTAGATAGTTTCTTGGAATCTTCTCTCAACCTAAAAATATTATTGCCATATACTTTCGTAGCACCCTGTATATAGGTATATTTTTAAATTAATAAATTTCCTGAAATTATTTTCAGACTTGTTAAAATTAAATTTCACAAGAACTACATTTCGTTCTTTACTCTAGCAAATTCCAATAAAACATTATTATGCAAGAGAGTCAAATCATTTGTCCTGCGATACTTAACAATTTTCGTTTACTCATTTTTTATGAAATCATGTTAAAATAATCGAACACTTAACTTTACCTCTTTGGTAGAAAAAAATGCGGCTTTAATAATGCTGGTGTGTTATCTACAATATTACAGCTGAATACACATTCAAAAGGACCGTACCCGTACTCAATTTAATAATATTCGTTATGCCCGCATTGTCAAACACATTTTTTGTAAATTCAAAAACATGCTTGCCTTATCTGATTCTTTAATAAACATGTAATTATGGCAGCCTAACATTAACTCATTATAAAATTTTATGTATTTTGTTCTCGTTGTTTTTGCTGCAATTGGATAACAGTGCCAGAAATCTGTTTGAGATTCTACAATTTCCTCTATTTTAATGTATATGTAGCATCAATACTCTGTTGTTTTTAAATTAATTTAATTTAATTTAAATCATTTTTTCTTATTAATGTTATTCTCATCATACAAATCATCGGTCTCGGTGATGAGAAGGACAGTAGGCATGCGGTGTTTCGAGTAGATACTTACTATGTGAGCATATTATAAATTCCCTTAAAAGGTTAAAAAAATTTCAGTTTTTCGTGTCTGTACATTTTTTATAAATATTAAAAAACGTCCTTTGGAAATATTATTACAGTAGAAAATACAAGTAATTTGAACTTTTTAACCTTTTCAGGGGGCTTAAATTTTGCAAAAATATCTGTCAGCCAAGGTTAGGGTTTTTTAGTGCCTTGTGAACCATAAGCTCGCTAGGCAGACGTTTTTTTAATTTTAACAATTTTTTTCCACATTTCAAATTCTGATTCATTTTTCGCCACTTTGATGGCAAATTGCTCAAAAACCGACTGATAGAATTATCTGCCATTATAGTACAGTACTGTACACACCAAACCGTATATTTTGCGCTAGGTTTGGTCCGATAACTAACCATTTTTTTCAATTTCCGGTTACAGCGCACCGACCGGAAATTTTGTGTACCGGCGTAATTGGAGTATGTGGAGTATATATACTAACTACCTATGCGGACAGATATCGGTAACCATTCGACTAAAAAAAAAATGTTCCCCGTCCGTTCCCGGCCGCCATACCAAAAACCTCAAAAGAGAAATAAGTATAGTACTCATATGGTCTCTTTCATCGTCGAATTTGCACGCTATTGCTTAGACTATTACGCCCCAGGCAAAGTCGGGGGTTTCGCAAAATTTTCAGGTTAGTGATATGCCAGTGCTTAGACAAGCGCTAATGAAGCAATGAGCTCACTTCCGATGATTGACCTTGTTAGCGGAAAAAAGTTGGCGTTAAATAAATAATTAAAAAAACATACAAATCGATGATTTCGAATATAAAATGTATTTCATAAATTATTATTGAAATATGTAGTGTGCAAATATGAACATACGGTATAATTTCGATCACGTTAGAGTTATGATATATTCTATTTCAGCGGGCGACTATTTAAAATATTATTTGCCTGAAAGGTGATCATCACGTCCCTTGGGCGAATCGCCAGTGTATATTTAAATTTACTACATACTACCAACATTCAAAACGCAATAGTAATACTCTGCCGGTTTGGGTTCGTATGGACAGTGGTGGTTATTCTAATTTTGTTTTGCAAAACGATTATCACTTCCTCTAAAGTAATAGAATCAAGTTCAAATACCCATACGGAAATACTTTAAAACATTTACTTTCCTCGTCGCGTCGATCAAATGAGAAAGTAGTGTATACAATTCTCTTTCACTTCCCTTTTCAATTAAACTTGGGTGAATCCAAAATTTTCTTTCTTTAAGTTTATTTTCTTCTTTATTCTCTTCTTCCTCTTCATCTAGTGCTATTGCTATCATAGCTAGATCCATATTAGAAAATTTACTCACCATATTTCTTTAGTTTAATTTTAGACATTTTCTATTTTGGTCTGGTAGAAACTCTGGTAGCGACTCGAGATAAAACAAGTGTGTATACACTGGGATTGTGACCGGACCATGATCTGAGCGTGAGGGGAACGTGACTGCACGTATAACGTGAAGAGAGCCTTATTATATGTGTTTTTTAAAATCGGTCTATTCCCGCTATCAAGGACAATCACCGGTGTCAAAAGATGGGCTCATTAGTAGGTTGGCATATCGGTACCAGGTAGAGAAATACCCAAATAGGTAAGCGAGACTTGTTTACTATTTTAGCAAAGACTAACATTTGATTTTTGCCTATTGTTATGCCACGTGGTGTGTAGAACATAATTTATTCCTCTCCGTTGTATTGTTGATAATTTAATTAAGGCTACTTTTTATTTCATATATTTCATGTAAAAACATATAAAAACAAACAAACAATAAAACACGAGGGACAAAGTTGGCAAACAATGGTATCCAGTGAGGACGACAATACCGTCCAGATACGGCTGAGCCCCTCCTGGTTGCCGGTAGCTCATGTAATTTTTCACCTTTTATCATTGTGCATTAAGGCATTTTTCTGCACATTGTTTGTACAATGCATTCTAATTCATAAAAAAAAATTTTAATAATTAAAAATATCAGTTTACAGAGTACATGTGGGGGATTGTATGTACACAGGAAAAATTCCAAAAAACCTGGTGAAAGTAATGATTTTTTTATTTTGAAAAATAAAAATTGGCTTTACGTCCGCGGTGAGGTTTAGGGTAGGGATGGCGTGGTTCTGAAAACATGCTCAGTTAATTTTATTCTTTTATGGGGGATCAAATCGTCTCGCCTTAAGAACCAACAGTAATCACCCATCACGGCTAGATCCCATCATTCTTTGATAACGAGTTTCCATTGTTCTAATATCTTGATGAAATCTTTCTCCTTGCTTGTCGCTTACCGCACCCAAATTTTCAGGACAAAATTTAAATGATAATGCAGAAAGTGAATTTTTAAAGGCATACGGCAATCAAGCATTTGGTAAGAATCTGAAAGTTCGCTTACTAGTTGCTTGTAGTTCTCATCCTTCTTGTTCCATAAAAATCCCCTGATTTCGCTTACAAATGAGTTCCAAGCTCTGAGTTCCTCTCTGTTGAGTGTTCCTTTCAAATCTGCTTCGTCATGCAATTTTCTAATTTAAGGACTAATAAAAATGCCTTCATTAAGTCTGGCGTCACTCAATTGGGAAAGAAGTTCTCTTAAGTATTTAAATCCTTCACCGTCTTTATTTATAGCCTTCACAAAATTTTTCATTAGCCCAAGTTTAATATGGAGAGGTGCCAGAAGAACATTTTTAGGGTCTACAAGGGGCACATATTTAACATTACTAGTTTCTGGTTCAAATTCTTTTCCTTTCCGGCCAAATGTTCTTTTACTGCACGACTATCCTTCAAACAAAGAAAACAGTAATATTTTGTAAAACCTCCTTGAAGCCATACTAAAATGGCTGTTACTTTAAAAATCCCCACATTTTACTATTTAAATATGTTGTAATTAATTTTATTTATGGTGCTCATACTGTCATTATCCTCTTTCAATGTTACTGAACGAGCAATTGGTATAGATGGTTTTAAATTTCCATTATGTAGTAATACAGCTTTTAAACGGTATTTGGAGGAATCTATGAATAAGCGTCACTCAGAAGGAGAATGCTCGATATTAACTTCCTGCATTAAAACATGAATATCAATACACGCGCATACTGAATTTTCCATATTATAAAATACGGAAAATGTTGCACATCTTTTTCTAAAAGTCGTAATCTTTGTTTCTTTAGCCAGTAAGTTCCACTCCTTAAGTTGGGAACCAAGATGTTCTGCTTGTTGTTGATAGCTCCAAGTCACGTATCAAATCATTCAATTCATTTTGAGCAATTAAGTGAAGGTCACTAAAACTTTCTGGAATATACAAAGTGTCGGCACACTGGTCTGGGCTGTCTGAAGAGTCGTTACTATATCCATTACCTCCCAAAACAATATTTTGCTGATCTAAAGACACAGTTGGCACTGGTAAGTATGCATTGTGAAGAACAGATCTTAGGGTTGATTGCAAATTCGGATATTTGATTTTTTGTTTTTCTTTTTTGGAATATCTCTCAGTTCTTGTTACACATAAATAGCAGTCATCGATATGATTTGTGTGTTCTCGCCATATCATTGGAATCGCAAAAGGCATGCTTTTTCTTTTTTCGTTCATCCACTGCTCTAGGTATTAACAATATAAAAACAGTACTGTGAACTATGTTACAATTATTGTGTCGGCCAGTGTAATTATTGCCATTAACACTATTTTTACAAATTTTATTTTTATTTTTACTTCTTATAGTTTCTTCAACATACAGGAGATTGAAGAAGTGATTTCGTATATCTCAAAATTGGTTGGAAATCGAGTAAAGGGCATGCAAATTACTCAAGAGCATATTGGTGTTATTACTCCATACAGGAAGCAGGTTTGTATATTTATCTTTCATTTATCGCGTGATAAAAAAAGTGGCAGATTTGTCATATTGGAGACCTTACCAGTCTGCCAAAATTCAGCCGAGTGGCTGGCAGGTCATTAGCAGATGGCGCGTGGTCCTTCTGCTTAGGGCACATGATTATGTAATTATAGCCCAGAAAAACATTTCCATATAGACCTTCATTACAAAAGTATTGTTGGATATACATAATATATACAAGGTGTCCCATAATTAAGTAGCTTTCTTCAAGGGTTGATAGAACTACGTGGCTCAGTGGTCTAGAGGTAACGTACTTCCCGGTCCCGGGTTCGATTCCCGGTCGAGGAACTGGGATTTTTCTGTGAGAGAGATTAATCGTAGTATACTCGGATATTGGGTGTGTGTCCATTGTCTCTAAATGTGTAGCCCTCTCCCACACAAGGTCATTCCAGACCTTCAGGGATAAAGGGGGTTGTAATTTCATGTGGTGTTATTATTATTTAAAAAAAAAACTAGAAAAAAATAAGTTGGGTTTTGTATATAAACATTTGCCTTAAGTAAATTCATAAAGCTACAACCCCTCAAGAGGGGTAAATACAACATAGTCATTTGCCAATAGGTTCAAAATGTCTTAAGTTGCGGAAATTACATTTTGAACCATTTATTAATTTCATGTACATATTTTGTCAAATTTTTATCTAAATATCATGATTTGTTGGGGTAGTTGGAGGGGGGTGAGGGTGAAATTTCGCTATAATTTGTTTGTCTTATTATTTTTAAACATTTAAAACAAAAAAAAGGCACCTGTGTTAAACACTGCATAAAAAGGTGCTCTTACTAAATTTCGAAAGGAGCCATCGTTTTGAAGTTATACTACATACCTCTACAAAAATAATTCCACAATATTTTCATGTAATTTAACAAATGTTTATAAACAACCAATTTATTTTTTTATTCATGATCATCCTCTGAACTTTAGACACAAACTTAAAATAATACTAATTAGAAAATTATTGTAAATTTTTGTTGTCCTTAAATTACATGCTCCATTGCGTAACGCGATATTTTAAATTGCTCTACAAAACAATAATTGAAAATATTATGAAATTATTTTTGTAAAGGTACAAATCATGAAATTTAGAAAAAATTTGACAAAATACGTAACATTATGAAATTAATAAATGATCAACTTATTTTTTCTAGTTCTATCGCTCCTTGAAAGAAGGTACTTAATTATGGGACAGTATAAAAAATTGTATGTTGCCAGAAATAAAGTTTTGGCTCTATTGAAAAGTGAGAAGGACAGTTTTTCATTAAAAAACAAAAAATCGATGGCGATTTTGGCGGAATGGCTGAAAAATTATGTAAATGGACTCAACGGTGTGTTTTTATATAACATACTATAATGGTTCGAGTAATTTTCCAAATAAACTATTGTTACTATATTCATGGAATTTATTTCATAATTTGTATATACCTTGTATGCAGTTGCATGAGTAATTAAATTTTTCTCCTTTGATCTAAATGACAGTCAAAATAAACTGTATTATAGATTGATAATTTTTCGAACCATATTGTCACACTATTCGTCGTAGGAAAGAAAATGCAAAAAATTAGGATTAGAAAAAAAACATCGGGCGTGTTTCATTTTTTAAAGCGACGCCATTAAAAATTACTACCTTTTAGTTACTATGTCAACACGTTATGAAGAATATATTAACGTATGTATATTGTATATAAACATTAATTCGACCATGTTGTTTTATGCTCTCGTTTCCTAAATCATTTTAATAAAGGGTACATCATACTCTTGTAGAGTTTTCCTTGAGATAGTTAGTTTTATTTTGAAAAATTAACACTTATTAATTAAAATTACTTTATTTTAGGTAGAAATGGTACATAAAGTTTGCGAGAGGAAACAGTGGAATAGCATTTTAGTTGGATCTGTTGAACAATTTCAGGGAAAGGAAAAACTGGTTATAATTATTTCTACAGTAAGATCAAGAAATACTAACAAATTTGAAGAAGTTGATAGGAGATGTCAGTTAGGCTTTCTCAGAAACCCAAAGGTAATAATCTCTATGCTATTTGTATATTTAATCATTTTTTGTTTTTGGTCATATAATACTTTTCAATTATTTAGTTCGCCTCTAACCATACGCAAAATCGGTGACACAGCCTAAATACAAATATTTTAGAACTGGAATAGTTAAAAAAATCAATAAAAAGTTGAATGTTAAAGTTATCGAATTTAGGTCATTAATGCATAACATGTCAAAGAAGTGATGGTCCAGTATTTATCTAGAAGTGGGTCTCCCAGAAATGAAACAACTGTAAATATTGCAAACCAAATGGAGCTAAGTGTAATTCTTACATTGACATGCCTCTATCAAAAATCATTGTTTGTGTTAATACTTCTATCTAATTTATTCCGGCATATATCTTTCTATACATTGATGTCTTTAGCAATTATTACTATTATAAACCTAACATCATAGAAACATAGAAAAGCTGTAACATAAAAGGATATCAGACGAAGACAAAGTAGACAGGTACATAAAATACCAAATAAGAAACAGTTGCTGCAACCATGGAAATAACATGAACATAAATCATCGTATTTCAAGAAAATGAACCAAATAATCTTGCAAAATAGCCGTCTTAATTATGAAAAATAATCTAGAGACATTGTGACAAAAAATCATAGATGATAGCAACGAAAATGAGAATTATCGAGGACCAATGTATCAAAGACAGAGGCGACTCACAGATATTAAATGACAAGTGTAGTTCTAAGTTTATGGAACATGCATTTATTTGCACGGAGGAATAATCGGGAGTGCATTATGGCGCACATTTATATATATATATATATATATATATATATATATATATATATATATATATATATATATATATATATATATATATATATATATATATATATATATATATAAATATATATATATATATATATATCAGGGGCGGTCGGTCCATGGAAGCAAGGGAAGCAGTGCTTCCCTTGGGATTATTAAAAAACAAACACATAATTAGAACCTAATTATTATTTGTCACATATATTAATCATTAAAATTTACTTTTACCCAATTTCAATAGACACGGCCCTGCATTTTAACAGCTGAGATGTTGCACGCTAAAACCGTAACGATGACGCACTCGATTAATCGAGCCAACACGAACTCGCGCGACTTCGATATAACTGATAAGCAACTTCTTGAAATGCATCCCATCCCCACTTCATAATCTTGATATCTGAGCTGTATAGCATAGTAATGCGTCTTCTTTTATAGATTTTAATATTATATTTAATATTAGTCTTCGTGGTATTATTCTCAGCTTTTGTGCTATATTTGTAAAAACTTTTTTGGTGTTTCTAAACCTGTGGTATGGCGACAAGTGATTTTGAAAACGTTGAACATTAGTGCGCGTATAAACAGTTTTAGAATTGCTTATTTAATATGGAAGCTGGTCCTAGCACTGTGGAAAATATTATTTGTGTTTGTATGGTGTGCAATTTGTTGAAAAAGGGATTTTCAACATATTCGTTTCAAGATAAACTGGATATTATTAGAAACGGGAGACCAACACCTGATTTAAAACTTTTAAAAACGAAAGTTAAATTATGCTATAGGTACTTTAATATTGAAATGTACAGTGCTAATCAGTGGTTAACGGGTTGTGAAAATTTGTGTAAATTGTTTTTCACAAATGAAAAAGGTGTTTGGAATAAAAATGGCTTTTCAGATTTAAGCAACATTCACAAAGTGACAAAGAGGCATGGTAAGTGTGAAACTCATTTGCGAGCGGTTCTAAAAAAAAAACATTTGGAAAATCACGAATTAAGCATTCACTAGATCAACAGTTGAAAGAAAGTGACCGTAAGCATAATGAACTTGTAAAAAAAATCGAGATGTTAAAAAGTCTTATTGACATTGTTTGTTTTCACAGCGAAAATGAACTTAGTTTTAGAGGTCATACTGAATCTCGGAGCGTTGCTAATAGGGGCAATTTTATCAATTTAGTTGATTTATTAGCAAAATACGATACAATTTTAAGTAACCATCTGGAACACTCCACGGTATTTCGCGGTACATCAAATCATATTCAAAATGATTTGATTCAGTCGATAAGCAATATTGTTTTAAAAAAGATCAAGCAAGAAATAAAAAAGCTCCTTTTGTTGCAATTATGTTAGATGAAACAACCGATATCACGAATATTAATCAGTTGTCAATCGTAGTACGATACATAAATCCAAATGGGAAAGTCCAAGAGCGTTTTTTAGGATTTTTAGACGGAACAACGCAGAGAACGGCTGCAGCTTTATATGCTATAGTTTGTCAGATAGTCGATGATCTACAGCGTGGTGCTAAACTTATCGCCCAAAGTTATGTTGGGGCCGCTGTAATGGCTGGTGAATTGGGGGGCCTGCAGGCCAAAGTAAAAGAGACTTTTCAGAATGCAATATTTGTACATTGTTTTGCGCATCGATTAAATTTAGTTCTTGCTCAATCTGCAGCGTGTCTTAAAGAGTGCAAAGTATTTTTTTCAAGTATTAGTGGAATGGCTGCCTATTTTTCAAAATCATCAAAACGGACACGAGCTTTAGATTCGGAAGTACAGAAGAGACTATCCAGAGTTGCTCCAACACGATGGAATTACAATGGGAGGCTAGTACAAACTGTATCTGAATATCGACAGCCTCTAATTGATTTATTTGAAAATATTTTACAAAGCAAAGATGATTGGGACACTGAGACTTTGAATGGATCCAGAGGTTACTTAGATTCATTGAAGAGATTTTGATTTAAATTTTTTGTTAAATATTTTCTCCGAAATATTCCCATTTATCCAATATTTTGCAAACTAAATCAAATGACGTTAGATTTTGTGTAAAGAAAATTGAGAATTTAAAAATTTGATTTGTAACAAAAGAAATGAATTTGAAAAGTTCTGGGAAAAAACTAGTAATGACAGTTTAGAGCCGCAAAGAAAAAGAATACGAACTGAATTTATAGTGGATCGTAGAACTTCATATCGAAGACTTTTTATCGAAATTTTGGACAATATCACAGGGTAACTAAATAACATATTTAAAAATTTTAGTGATATACAATTTTTACAATGGGACTTTTCACTACTACTTAAATCTCAAAACAAATATGTTTATTTGAAAGCTAACTGATAGATATTCACCTTGCGCAACTCTGTTTGAAATATAAGTCTCCCATTGTTTAATAAAAAAATAAACATTTATTATGGCAATTTGAACACTCATTTGACCATGAAACTGAGTGACGTCACACAAACCGGAATCATGTTGGTAGCA